TTTTTTTTTTTTTTTTTTGGGGGGGGGGGGTTGACACATGTTTCAAATAATTGATTTGTATTTGAGGGGTTTTCGGTCATCTTGATGCAGTCAATATCGAAGGCTAAAGTTCGAAACCACATACCCTCCGCTTGCGACGTTGCAGACTTCCAGTCATACTGTGTTATTTCTTCGGACAACTAGACGATGTCATTTCTTGAAAACTTCCTTGATTTTTCTCCTCTATTTGCAAGATATATTGTGGAAATTTCAAAACATACAGTTGGCTTGTTTCACAACGAAAAATAAAACGGAAGCAGAGATTTTGAAACACCGCAATGGAAGTTTATACATGGTTCCTTACGTTAGCCGTCGATCTGTGACAGTCAGGCCATCCACAGGAAAAGGGACATTGGTCAAAAAAAACTTAAAATAGGTTTACCTATTGGTATCCCAGTATCGAGGGGTAATCTCCAAACATTTTGAGACCGGGCACAAAAAAATCCATCCAAAACTGTCAAGCCGAGCTGGTGTTAAAACTTTAAGAAGTTCGCAGTTCGACTGACGTATTTGGATAAACAAATTAAGTAAGCAAATTCTAATCTTTCTTAATCGCGGTGCGAAAGAGCCTCGCCAAAAAGTGGTGTTTTTTAGCCCCTTTTTTTATACCCGAGTTGGTCAACCGGACTGTGCTGAAATGAAAGCCTATGGTAAGGCAAACTTCCATGCAAAGTTTCAACTTGAAGTGACCCCTCGTTTAGGCTGTACAGCGTTGCCAATTTTTCATTTTTATGCGCTATACTCGAGGAATACTGGATTCATCATGGTTGAACAGACTAGTATACCCGAGTTGGTCAACGGGACAAGGCTCAAACGAAAGCTTATGGTAAGGCAAACTTCCAGGAAAAGTTTCAACTTGAAGTGAAACCTCCTTCAGGCTGTACAGCGTTGCCAATTTTTCATTTTTATGCGCTATACTTAAGGAATACTGGATTCATCTTGGTTCAACAGACTAGTATACCCAAATTGGTCAACGGGACAAGGCTCAAAAGAAATCTTATGGTAAGGCAAACTTCCATGCAAAGTTTCAACTTGAAGTGAAACCTCGTTTAGGCTGTACAGCGTTGCCAATTTTCCATTTTTATGCGCCATACTCAAGGAATACTGGATTCACTGGATTTTACTTGGAGGAATATCGGCAACACTGCTTCGAAAAGTTCACGATGGCCTTTAGTTGCGCTTCTATTCGATCTCAGGGTAGTATTCAGCTCGTAGACCGATGCACTAGTCTGTTTAATTATGATGCACTGGACTATTAGTCCCGAATTCCTTGATTTTAGCATATAAAACTGGAAAATTGGCAACGCTGTACAGCCTAAACGAGGTTTCACTTCAAGTTGAAACTTTTCCTGGAAGTTTGCCTTACCATAAGCTTTCGTTTGAGCCTTGTCCCGTTGACCAACTCGGGTATACTAGTTTGTTGAACCATGATGAATCCGGTATTCCTTGAGTACTTATAGCGCATAAAAATGAAAAATTTGCAACGCCGTACAGCCTAAACGAGGTTTCACTTCAAGCTGAAACTTTTCCTGGAAGTTTGCCTTACCATAAGCTTTCGTTTGAGCCTTGTCCCGTTGACCAACTCGGATGTACTAGTCTACTTATGCACCGGACTAATAGTCCAATATCCTTGATTTTAGCACATGAAACTGGAAAATTGGCAACGCTGTACAGCCTAAACGAGGGGTCACTTCAAGTTGAAACTTTGCATGGAAGTTTGCCTTACCATAGGCTTTCACTTGAGCACAGTCCGGTTAACCAACTCGGGTATAAAAAAAAGGGGCTAGGGCTAAACTTGGCGAGGCTCTTTCCGGATAATTGCAGCTTTACGCCCTTCAGGGGTGCAAAATGTAAATGAACGGCTGGTAACTAATCGCTCAAGACCGGAAAACTTCTTCCGCCCTGTACTAAGGGCGCTTTACGCTCTGGCTTTACGAAGAAATGTACTTAGGAGTGGTCTGTGGGTTTACTGACACACGCTAGCACCGGCGCCAAGTTTTCCTGTTTCATTTCACAAATGGACGTATTTCTACCAAACAGACCTATGTGCATTGAGACATGAGCCCTGAGACCCCCAAGCATACGTGCATAACAGGGCTCACGTCATAATGCACATAGTTCCGTTTGATAGAAATACGTCCAAATATGCCGCTTGACATCAATATTTCACCCTTTTCCCCCGTGCCTATGGCTTATGATTCTAAAAAAAATTAGTAGGGATCCGGCCCACTGTCATCTTTTTCAGTACATTTGAATTCTACTAAATCAGTATATTATATTTAGGAAACTATTCTTCGCGATCGGTTGATATGTAAAGGAGTTGGCGTTCAACAAGTTGCCCAAGAAGTTCAATACCAAATTACTGCAAAATCGATTGCCTACTTGCATTAATTTGACCATCATTTTGATCAAAATTCCATCACTAATCTTAGATTCTGAATTGTGACATAACTCTGCGAGAAATTAAAAAAAAAATTGTTCTCGTGCTGCTTGACTGTATTTGAAAGGAGGGTCGGATTCGGGTCGGCGCGCAATGGGGCAACGATGGCGTAGTACGTCGAATTGCCCAGTCCCGGTCTCGGGGGTGGCTGGAGGCTGCCATTCACGAGTTTTGGTAGGTGCCCAACTGAATTACCTGACCAGACAAACAAGATCGGAGCCGCCTTCATGGTCAGTATATATACTCGAAATACGATTTTCCGCCCCAACCCGACGAAAAATGTGGCCTCTTTGAAATAATGGGTCGCCGGTCGCTGGGGTTTATACAATGCCCCCCCCCCCCTTTGTTACTCACCTTTGATGTTTCACGCATGGAAACGTAAAATGGTCGCCGGCTTCAATGCCATTTCTAGGAAAAACGCGGCAAGGGTTTTTTCCGCATGGGCAGCAACCCAATACGTCCTTGTCCTGATGAAGAAACGTAACTTCATTCCGAGGTTGAAAAATTGACTCTTGAAATTCAATTTTTTACAGGGGTGAACCTGTGCAATTAGAGTCCAATTTTTTTCTCTGACTTTTGCATTAGATAAATAGAAGGCAATTAGTGACATGTTCAGTAAGAGGGGCCTAAGCTTCTCCTGGTTAAATTTAATTAGCTAGAGTAAACTAGGCAACCATGAAATGCAGTTACCTACGTTCTTTCGCAGTGCTGCCATTTTATTTTATCAAAAGATTCCGAAATAATTCTTATTTTCGGAAACAGTCCGATTTGCCAAAGTTCCGAGAAGAATTCCGAAACACGCCCGTATTAGTTCCGAAAATCGTCAAATTTGAAGAAAAAGTCCCTAAATTTAATCAAATAAATGGTCAACCCGGCGAAAAACCGCAAATTTCGAAGAAATTCCGCAAAAGCTGAAAATTCCGGGAAAAGTTCCGAATTTTGGAATTAATTCCGGGAAATGGCAGCACAGTTCTTTCCTGAAGGTAACGACGAGTAGAGCGCATCAAGTTACAAGTTCGTCCATGTCGGCGTCATACTCATAGCGTCTAAAATGTCAACCCTCAAATCGACAGCTGACAACTGCCTTCAACGATCTTGCAACCCCTCGCATTGCGAAATTGAGTTTAGTTTAGTCTTCTCGCCGGAGATTCTCTCTGAAATTCGAGAAACTGGCCGTAAGGATGGAGTTTACACTACTCCAGTCTATCAGTTGCGAAGCGTGAATGGAGATGTTGCATGTGTGAGGAATTTGCGATTTGACTGTTGATTCTTTTGTAAAAGTTTGCGAGAAACACAATGGTCCCACTGGTTTTCTCTGAAATCAACTCCCAAGCTCAAAAAAAGCTCTCAAGTTGAGGCCAAAATGGAGGGGATATCCCACGCCATCCTGAGAGTCCACCTCTAGATCAAGACGAACTCTCCATCAAGACCAATCCACACAGATCAGTCATTGCGCATCTTTTTGAAAGCCACTTCCCTGCCCGGCCCTAACTCGGCTGCACTCAATAGTACGTCACAATGGGTGCTCCCATAAGAAATACATTGCAAGCACTCAATAGTACGTCACTGCACAGTAGAGTACCAAAACTCGTCCACGGGAATGACTGACCTGTGTGGATTGGTCTTGCTCTCCATGCTAAGATAGGGAGCAAATACCTTAGCAGTGATGCCGTGTTTTCAGTTTTAGAGTCCCCCAAATAGAGTGGCAGCCCTATCAATGTATTTGCTGCCTGTCTTTGCATGGAGAGTTTGTCTTGATGTATTGGTGGACTCTCAGGATAGCGTGGGATATCCCCTCCATTTAGGCCTCAACTTGAGAGCTTTTTTGAGGCTTGGTAATTGATTTCAGAGAAAACCAGTGGCACCATCGTGATTCTGGCAAACTTCTGCATCAGAATCATCGGTCAAAACGCAAATTCCTCACACATGCAACATCTCCATTGTTTAGATCATGACTAAAAAGCCATCCTGAAGGCCGATTATTGATAGTTTAAATCAGCCCGATAAGGCATCGAATTGCGACATATTGCTCGGTTAATATAGGGCTTTGGATAGTCGGGCCGCGGTAAGTACATTCTTCACCTTGAAAGTTAAAAAGCAGCCACAGCTGGCTGGAGGATATCGATGGCGGAAGTCAGCAATCACATATCGACGGTGTAAGTCGGCAGTCACATAACTCGGTTTGCGACGTCGCAGACTTCCTGTTATGATTTATTATTTAAACGGAAAACTACTCAACAGCAACTCTTGAAAACTGCGGTGATTTTTCTTCTCTGTGTTAAGAAAATTCTGCAAAAACTTCAAGGAATGATGTCAATTTGTTCTCCTTTAAAAAAATAAAATAGAGGCGGAGATTTTCTGACACCGCAAACGAGTTATGTGATTGCCAACTTGCACCGTCGATATCTCGTTTGTGGTGTCTGAAAATCTTCGCCTCTAGGTTATTATATCAAAGGAGAGCAAATTGACATCATTCCTTAGAGTTTTGGCAGAACTTTCTTTGCACAGATGAGATGAAAAATCACGACAGTTTGTAAGAATTGCCGTCGAGAAGTGTTCCGTTTAAATGCTGAAAGGAAGTCTGCAACGTCGCAAACAGAGTTAAGTGATTGCCGACATACACCATCGATATTAAAAATTTCGTGTCCCGGGATACTCTCATCAATATTTGAAGCATGTACGAGTCATGCCGCCAGAAAGTAGGTACCAGTGTACGAAACACGCCAACACGCCTACGGAGAATTCCTGACGTGGGTTCAATATGCGAATAAGATAAGGATATTTGGTATTGTAGATGCTGGTTGGATGCGTAGAGGGTAGTGCAAGAGCAAGATAAGGATAACTGATAAGTAACTAATATTAGGGTTGAGTCACTGTCAAGTACCACGTGACAATACAGCGACAGCCAAAAGGCGGCGGTTTTACACGACAAATAGATTTCCGCAACAAATAACATAACCCCATTGATCAAGAAAATCGCAGGGAAAAGCTTGCAAGAATAATTTCAAGTAAGAATTAAACTTACTATGTCGCTTGTAGTCCTTCCTAGGTAGAGTCCGAACTGTAGAACTGTACTGAAACTGAACACTTGAACAGCTGAATTTGCTTTGATGAAGTTGAGAAGAGAGAGGGCGGAACGAGTAGCAAAGGTCGACATCGGCAATGGTCGATTCGTGGCGAACGGTCAGAGGTCGATTCGCGAACGGTCATACGTCGATGCCCGAACGCACCGAACCAATCGAACCTAGTTCACCATTGTGCATTATATTTTACTATTCAATATTCATTTTATCGTTTGTTGCAAATGGAGCATTATGTATAGGCTGCTTGTCTTCGCCGTGGACGACACTAAAGACCTCTAAGTTTAAGTAGCTCTCTTAGCAGAACGAGAGCCATAATGGATCAGGAAATTCCATCAATGGTTGTAAATTAAACTAAATTTATGCTTCGTTTCTGACCCTTAAAGTAGATACCTAAGTAAACAGGTCTCGATTTTTAATTTGACCTCGACTGATGAGCAATAAAAGCCTAGCGTATTAATGTCTTCCTTTTCTTCATAAGAGAAAGGCTATGTCCAATAATAGACTTAATTGAAAATGAACTTTGGAGAAACGTTCTCCTCTTAATTTTGCACCATGATTTGAAGAGAGAGGTCTTCAGGATTTTTCCATTCTGATACTTGGAGGGAATTTAAGTTTTTTTAATATCTTTTCTAATAAGACCCAGCTGGGGCGCTAAGTGGCTTTTTTTATTTATTTTTATCTTTTAATGTGATTAGACATACACATCAATGGTGAACCTAGAAAAATTTCCATTGTGCAAGGAATATGGATTGATAGCATCTCAGAATCGGTGCATTACATGCAATTTTTCTTCATGTACTGATCCGTTATGCTTCAAAATAGTAAAAAATTTAAGAACATCTGAAATGATGCAACTGCAGATAGGATTGTGGTTAAGTGATGTCACCTTCATTATGCATCCCCTTAAAATGGAAGGATTTATAAAATGAACTTCAAATTTCTTCAATGAAAGTGAAAAACTCTTATGAAGTTGCGTGTAAAAATCAATGTCTCATTTCTGTGTTTTCAGAAACAAGTCGCGGTGAAAATGCCTAATTTTTTTTTTAATTTCATGGAAAATAAACTTGATTTTTCTCGTCTTTGAAAGTATCATGTCCTACCGCGATGTGCAAAAAGAATGCTCGATAGGTACCTATGTCATAACTTTTTCCATGTTTGAATTTTAAAATGTTCCGATTAGGACTAGTGTGAGAAGTTCCAGTTGTACTTCTTTGAGGCTGGGCCTCAGCCGGCTCTTTCACTTTTGCAGTCAAGTATACTTAGTGTTTCATCCTCTTATCTTTTTGTGTTCGTGTTTTCAGCACCCTGTCTCTCTTTAGTAGGGAGCCGAGGCACCCTTCTATGACTCAGTCTTGTCACGTTACAGTATGAGGAACTGCGCAAAAGCAGATTGAAGCAAAGGAAACTGTGTCGGTAGTAAATTCTAGGTATCCTACATGAATGTATTTATTTCCAAGTAACTCCTGTGGGTAACAAAACGTTGGCTTCCACGTCAAGAATAAAGTTGTCAAAGTAGAGGCTTGAAAGCAACTTACAATGAGGTAGATGTAAAGACCTGTGATATTAAAGCGTATTAAAGGTGATAAGGAACTTTACCATCGAAGAAATCTTCAGTCATGGCGACTATGACCATGGAGCAGAGACGTTTCCCTCGCTGTATAAGAAAATCTGCCATTAAAGTTTTTCAAGAACAAGAAAAGCTACAGTTTCATCTGCATTTTTATCAACTTGGTTCTCAAGAAACCTTCAATGATCAGACGCAATGATATGCTCCTTTGGCGTGGTAGCGAGTGGAGATAATCTATGAACTGCTGAAAGACTACTTTTTCCTCAAAAAGTGGATTTTTCCACCTACCTACGCGAAAGTCGTAGAATGTCCACTCAATTAGGGCTCAGACTGAAAAAGAAATTAATTAATTAATTTAAACTGACTCAAAAACACTTCCGGATTGAACAGCTTCGATTAACTTCCCACCGTTCCGACAATGAACAGCAGTGGCTAGGCAAGAAATTACTACATACTAAACAGACACACTGCCAAAAAAATAATTTATCCGACGACATGCGAAAATTTATTCAGTGAAAAATATTAGACATTCTTGACTATTAAATAGGTAGATGTACTATTACTGTTACTAATGTCCTCAAAGTCAAAAGGGGTTAGTTTAATGAGAAACAATAACAAACTCGTCCGAACTCGCCCCGGCGAATGTTCATGACATTCGCGGCAGTTCGCGGAACCATTCGACCCGTTCGCTTCGAGTCGACGACTGCCCTTTTTTCGAATTCGACTTCTGCCGATGTCGACGATTGAACTCCGCTCAGAGGGCGCAGGCTGGCGCAGGCAGAGCAGAAGCCGAGAGACTTCGGTAGGAATCGGGTAAAGTCGCGTCGATCCGAACAGCATTGCCAAATGACCACTTCACTTGAGGCCTCCGACCTTTGCCAACTAGAAAAAAGTCTAGTCCCTGCGTCCCTGCCTCCATGTGGTGACAATTGGGTGACAAATAAAATATGGAAGGTGGTGTTTATCGACGTAAGTGAAGTTTGTATGAGAATCATCATTCATTATCACATCACGGCGATGTGGCGAGAGTGATGTGGCGGACTTTTTCAGTTACTCTACTCCCACTAATAATGCAAATAAACGGCAACAGTGAATGGTTCGCACAACAGAGACTCAGGCGTTGTCAAATACCCGTGAAATAATTAATAAAATAATAGGACTCCATGCAATCTATGGGATTATTACATAACTAGGGGCCTGAGGCCGCTACGCGGCCGCTAAACACTGAAAGGGAACTGCTCGTAAGAAATCATAGAGCAACCACGTTGAAGTTATTTATTATAATTGAATAGCAACTTGAATTGACGATAAATTTTGAAAGAAGATATAACATGCTCTGAAATTTTGGAAATTGAAATTGGAATTTTGAATTTATCATCATTTAATAACGATTTAAATTTATAATCTGGAAAAATTAAATTATTCCGGAAAATAATTTCGGACTTTTAAATGTGAAGTGCCAGTATTGTGATGCCTGGCATTTCAGAAAAGAGGAGGATGTTTTAACAGATGTTGTCATAATGGTCTCCTCAGACTTGCCGAGCCCGGAATCAAAGACCAACTTCGCGACCTCTTCTCCAAAACCATTTTCATGACCAACATTTTGAGGTACAACAGTTGTATGGCTTTTGCATCTCTGTCTGCTTCCAAAGCTCATATAATTTTGAACCAAATCTTCTGCTATCGAATACGAGAATAAATGGAGAATTTAAGCTTTATCTTGACCAGCTTCTAGAAAGAAAAATGAAATTTCTAAGGAAGTCTGCAACGTCGCAAAAGGAGAAACGTCGTCTCTCATTTTCCCCAAAAATATGTACGTGTAAAATTGAAGGCATTATGGCTGGCCTCTCTCAACTTATATTCGTATGTAACAATAAAAAATAGTACGCGTTTGCTAAGGCGCCTTGATACAACTATACAACCTCGACGGATGTCCGAATTGCGTTCAAAAAATTGAAGGCGTTTTGACCCCTGCTCATACTACCTGTAGTTGATTCGATCGACAAACGCGTTGGTCGGCGGTGACGGGGACTTGATGCATTTTTTTAAACTTGATGGATGTCCGTATCGCACCGACTGAAGTGCGAAACCACGTATCTCCATTGCGGTGTTTCAAAATTTCCGTTCTCATTTCATCTCTTCAATATTAAGCTTCAGTATTAATATATCTCAATATATTAAATTTATAAGAATCTCTTTCATTAACATCGTAAATGCTCCGTCGAAACGAATACGGTAAACCACGCACCAGTCGCATTACGCCACGCCGTTCGATGCGCCGCAATGAGGGGTTGCGAAAAACATGCTCACGCCTCGCAGGACGCCTACGCTTTGAACACGGATTCTCCATGACCACAGAATATATAGGCTTCACCTAAGCCTATATATTCTGTGCCATGACTGAAGACAAAAAAATTGCGAGACAACGACGGTCGACGGTGCACTACGCTTCCGAAGTAAATCCATCATCCACGGCCATTTCCAGGGAAACGAACGAACCGGGCAACCGAGTCATCAGACCGAAGAAAAATAGGACGGGAAAAAGGAAAAACCTCGCATCTCCCGACGGGACCAACGGGAACGGGACAACCGTTTTTCCCGAGGGGGCGAGGGGGGCCGGGCACGCCCCCCTCCCTATATTTTTCCCGCCGTCGGGGGACCGGGACGGTCGAGCCGGTACCACCCGCGTACGGATCGGCCCGGCGGTTCGCGCTGAATTTTGACGCAAAGAAAAGGCTTACGGAATTATATATGGTGATGATGATGATGATGATGATGATTACAGAAATCTAAGAGAGCAAAATGCTAACAAACAGAGCTGAAAACGCGCTGCGAAATGTTCTTTTAAAACTTAGCTTCTCTAGATGAAGGTGCTAGTTCCTTAAAAAAGGAAGAAAGTTCACACGAAAAAATGGTTTGCCACCGGGGTACATTTTCCTCTCTCCCCCTTTGGACAAAAAATAGATTGTCTGTTTGGCATTGTTGAACTAACTGTAAATTCATGGATAAAATTATATCACATAGGCACCAGTAGACTTTTAGATGCAATGACAACAAAAAATAACTCGGAATACGAAAATTGCCCTCACAAAAAATACCAATATGCACCTGTGTATGTAAAATTGAAGTGGATACGCCCACGCCACGTGGCACTAACAACAATTGCCGGATACCATATTGAAGGCGCACTAAGGGAAAACTCAGTCAGCACAGAATAAAAAATGTGATGAATTCATCCATCGGTGTAAGTTTTCTGATGAAAATTCCAATCTTTAAATATGTTCTCAACCTTTACCACCAGTTCTCATCTGTATAATACCAAAATTCTACAGACCAATAGTCTCAGGCACACTATCACAATATTTTTTTTAGAGAGCTCCCACTCACCACTCATCCTTCATCATCTTGAATTATTGATGAGATCCGAGTTCTGCATGCCAAGGAAGAGCGCAGTATGAGCTTTCTGACGTTGCTAAACTTCCCTTGAAAAAACTTGTCGGTATTGGTCTTCAATTGTTCAAACAAAACTATGGAATTTAATGTTCAATTTAATACAAAACATTTGAAAATTTCATCAGAATAAAAAACTAATTTTCCTGAGATAAAATTTTCATTGAATGAGGGGGAGGGGGGGGATTTCGCGATGTCTAAATTTTCCTAACACATCTTTCCTGCCTTTGGTTCTTGACCAGATAACACACCGAATGTTTCGGGATTGTTATTTTTGACATTGCACCAATAACGTTTCAAGAACGTTGTGTGTGTAAATTTTTGGTAACGTTGCAAAACGTTTCTCTTTTCAGCTTCACTTTTATGGAGATGACCTCCTAGAAAATTTAATTTTAAAGCTCATTGTGTTTATGAGAGCATAAGGAATGTCACGTCAATTAATAACAAAATTTAACCCGCACTGAATTTCTTGATATTACGTTTGTGGTCCTTTGTATGCTCAGATATTCAATAGTTTACAGTGCCCTATATTCCATCCTTGGACTCCTAATATCTGAAAGGCCATTCATAAGATACGCAATGCTCTAAAAAGGAGGGGAACGTAAAGAGATACGCCAGTTTACACTTATGTAATAAAGGATAGGAACCTACAGCACAAAAGCGTTAANGGGGGGGGGGGGGGGGGTTTGTCGAAAAATTCGAAATTTAACGTTGAGCAATTTATGAACGGCCCCTTACAGTGATTCTGACATGATGTCTCAGAATTGAGTTCTTCATTAGTAAGAGAAAATTATAAAAAATTGAACTTTGAATGGTTGAACAGAAACACCGAAAGGAGGATGAGGCAAATATGGTTCAGAGATCTTCTGTGGCAAGAAAAATTTTATTTGTTGATAGAGGCACAATACATACGTCAGAGGTTCATTCAAAATTAATAAAAATCTGATCGATGATTCATACCGGTAAGCTTCTTCTGAGCCATAAGCATTAATAATACCTCATATTTACAATAACAACACTTAGAAATGATAAATAAGGGGTCAGTATGAAACAGCATTGGACAAAAAATCGACAAGATTTTTCTCCTGTAAAAATAACTTTAAAAAAAAACCCGAGAAAAGGTATTTAATTTTACCTGAACTTTACCTCTTTGTAGCAAATTTTTCAGGCACACAATGAGTAAAATTGTGAGTTCTTGTAACTTTTTCAAAAAAGTTATGCACAAATTATCAGAAATAAATCCTCAAAAAGTTTCGAGTTGATTCACCCAGGTAGACAAAGTCTCATATTTAACGAGATAACATTTAAATGTAGAGTGAGAGTATATAAAATGAAAACAATATAAAAAAAAACTAACGAAAAGACAACAGTAACACACACGATTTTAAATACATAACTGTTGTAAGAAGACATGATAAAAAAATCAATTTTGCTGCTTATTGAACGTTTGAATGCTCCTTAAAGAGCAAGAGAGAGCATAAACACGAGAGGGGAACTTTCAGATCTTAACATTTATTTCAAACAATCTTATTATTAGTTGACTGAGAATAGCTCCCTACTGACCTAATTTAATTACAAAATTGCAAGATTTTGATTGATAAAGTCTGATATGGAATTTTTCAGTTTGCGATATTGCAAATTTCCAATCATACTTGATATTTTTAATGAAAAACTGATCAAAGTCATCATTGTTTCACTGCTTGAATGCTATCTGCGCAAATTTAAAGCAATGTGATTTAAAGCAAATGTGATTAGTTTTCTTCAGAAAAATAAAATAGGAATGAAAATTCTGCAACTGAGATGTGTGGTTCAGACTTCAGTCATCAATTTGATTTTATCAAGGCACCTAATGATTCATTCAAGCCTACTTCTATACACAGTATATTTTTAACAGCCGGTTAGCAAAGATAAAATTGTTTACACCAAGAAAAAATTAAAGATAGTGAAAATAAAATAAATAGTGACGTCGCCGATCACTATAAAAGAGCTTGCAAAGCCAAAAACTAAATACAGGGTAAAATTAATATTGTAAACGATGGCACTTTGAGAGACTTAAAACTTAGTTTTAACTTTTTAAAAACAACCAAGACATTAATACGTAATTTAAAGGAGAGACTTAGAAGCCTAATGGATACGCCAATTTCTAAAAAATACATTTTCACTTGAAATTTTAGCAGAGGTGGAGATTTTACAAAATATACCCAATATTTACGCATGCTTGTTTGCTGAACATTATTCTATTCATGAAATTTAAACTACTTGAGAGTATTATCTGCCAAGACTTGGTGTGTAGGGAACTTACTGTGCAGATTGGGCTAATTAAGCACTCAGATCTTAGATCATGGTTAAAATTCTTCACTTGAGAAAAAATAATGCTAAAATGACACTTTGTGATTATGAGAGAGCTAGGTGAAAAACACTCTGCGATATGAAACAAACTGTCTTTTTATGAGGTCTAATTTTGCAAGACGGCTCTGTAGTGACCATCAGAATATTTTCTGTTGACATCCTCACTCAAAATGCAGAAATAATTTTTTTTCCCTCTGAGACTGCACTCGGAGGGGGTTAAATCAATAGATACATTAGTTCAAAAAAAAAAGAAAGAAAAAAATTTAAAAAAAAAAAAAACAAATTATGGAGAAAGAAGACTCATAAGTTCTTGTTGGAGTCATTCTAAAATTAGATAAAACTTGACAGAGGAGTATTTTGGCCAGTTGTATTGAGTATTACAAGGTATAGTGAATGATTCTGCAAAGTGATACACTATTTATAAATTGGCAGTTTTTCCTCTTGACTAGAGCACTAAAAACAAATCAAGTCACCATGAGGTGAAATGGGGTAACAGATGACTATTATTTAAGGGTTATATAATGCAGGGATAACCCCCTTTAACATTCAGCTTTAATGATTGTATCCGAGTTTCAATTGGCTTTTTTCTAAAAAAAAGTAAAGAAAAAAGAGATAGTTACATTACTTTCAAGAGAAACTTTCTTCTATCATTTGGATATGTGACTGCATAAAAATGGAAACTACTTTCCTTTGATCCAATAAAGTAAAAAATTGAAAATAAACTACAAAAAAATTAACAAACCATTCAAAGCTGCAATTTTGATTAGGCCGAGCATATAACTATTACACTTCTCATTTATTTCATTTGAAAAGTAGTGCAATTTGTTGATATTTTTCTCCCACATATATTGCTGGTACATTTGTAAGTACCTTCATTTTCAAGCTTATATCTATTTAAAAATGACCAAAAACTTAAAGAAAATGTACAAAACAAATTTTTATGATCAGTAAAAGCTCATAAAATTAGAAGGAGATTTGATTGTTCCTTTAATTTATAATCAGCTCGTCCTTTATTCTCTCTTTGTTATTAATTCGATCAAAAAAAAGAAAAGAAAGAAAAAGCATACATCCAAATAATTTTCTAATAATCAGCTATAATCAGTCCAACAAAATTATGAGCAAATTTTCAGTGATTTATGCTTTGCTCAATTGAAGCAGAAAAATAAAAGTCCATCAATTTTTTCCTGTTTTTTGAGGAAAACTTAGTTGAAGATAGAATTTTTCCTTTCGAAATTCAGTTAAAATTTTGAAAGGGAGAAAATTCAAATTTGTATAGCCAACTATAAAAACAGAAAATTAAAGAACAGTTCAGAGGTGCATTAATGGTACAACAACATCGAATTTCATTCTCAAAACAGGAATGAGAAATAAATAAACCAAGAAAAAAATTGGGTGAGATAAAAAAGATGTGCGTTAATATGATGCAGTAATGAGCAATTAGTAAGCAGCAACTTGCTGACTCCGCCGCAGAAGAGAAAAAAATCCTATGACATGAAATATGCAAAACATGACGATGAGTCCAAAGAAATCCAGAGTGTTGTTCTCTGACTGTAGTCCATACGAATGCAGGACCTGCTCACCTGTTGTGTAGCAGACATTGTCGACACTTTTAGAGCACGCTGAAACAAAAATGAGTAGAAAAGAATGAAGCAGAATTCTCAAAAATCCAGGGAGAACTACCCACAAGAAATTGAAACGCAAAAAATGATGATAATTTTAAACCTTTCAGGAATAAATACAGCTGAATTGAAACTGTTTTATCTTTAGATGTCAGCAATGGTTTCCAGATATTCGTTTCTAGAAAAGAATTCTGGTGTACAAGAAAATTAAAATTTTTTTGGTGATTCTTATACCCGAGAATTAGTAAATATTTGATAAAAGCCTCAAGCTAACCAAAAATGAAGCATTAGGCTAGCAGTCGACCTCTTTTTGCCTAACAAAGATGGGTAGAATTCGACGATGAAATTGAGTGGTCAAACACTACTTCCACCATTTAATTTAGAATTAATTTCAGAATCCCCTCAGTTTTACTTTTCAAAGGTTCCATTTTCCGAAACAGCTGTTGCCACGATCATGAAAACTTTGTGGACCACCAACCTCACTTGGTGAATATAGAAAAATGCAGCATAACAGAAAACATCTCATCACACTCATACGCATTGTGTCCATGGCACGTTTTATGGGATTCGTCCCTCGGAAAAATCTCCCTTGCGAAGTTGGGAAAAATATTGAGTTAGTCAATACTAATCACAGTACCGACTAGGAGTCTTTATGGAGTCCCAGGAACAACTTCAAAAGAAGGAGAAGAAATTTTGTCGTGTTTTTTACAGGGAAAAAAGCCCACAAGTTTCCTTTCTGCGCTTTGAACTTGGGAAAAGTCCTGTGAAACGTCCTGTGGAGACAAGGCGATAGAATTCGCAGAAATTTTTCATGGCAGTTTTTTTTTCAAATTTTTATCTGATCTTCCTCCTAGGGGACATCCTGAGAATAGGATTATCAGGTTGAGTTTATGCATGACTCTAAACTTTGTATTTGAAAGCATCCATCATGAAAGCAATTGATCAAATACAGGGTGTGAAACAAAATTTTCTTCTCCTCCTATCTTACCTCCTGGGTTTCCCCTGACTTTAGGATTTTTCATCTCTATAATTCTTCACCCGATTCTCCCTGACCTTTTTTTCCAAATTAGAAGAAACGCAAAAATAAACAAAGCTCAGCGGAAAATACTGTAGCAGATGAGTGGGGGCTCGAACTTCCAGGGGGAATTCAATGCAGACTGGAAGAGAGCGCCACATGGCTCAGTCTCTCAGCGCCAAAAAATTATGCAAAAAATCACGATCTTGCACGGGATATTGCAACTTTCCCAGTCACGCATTTTCAATGACTGACTCTCTGTAACTTCTCCATGACTGATTTCATCTTCCGGACTTTCAAAGGTGTCTTCTATAACAGACTGGCCAAAAATCAGTGCTTTTACAGTACATTCCCGAGAAATTCAGTACTTTTTCAGTACCTCCATTTGATACAATTCGAAAAATTTCAACATTTTGAATTTCTCTCAAATTGTGACAAAACTTAAAAATTCCGGACTTTCTAGCAGAATTGCCGCACTTTTCCAGTACTTCCGGACCACCTTTAAAAAATCAATACTAATTCCCGACTTTCCGGAAATTCCGGACTTGTAGACACCCTGTTTTCCAAGCTTTCCTGGTCCCTGGAAACCTTGATAATGCCAACTTGCTTTATAAAACTGCTGAGAAAAATACTCACGAATATCTGTTACGCCTCTCCATTGTTGAATGGACAACAACTCAAATGTGTAGAAGAACATGGAGATGTATTTGATCCAGGCCATGTAAAACGGCAGTGACCGCAATTGAATGAACAGCCCACCAAAAGTAGAGCCAATAAAATCAACAGGAACTGATACTAAAGAGGCTGTGTTAATGGATTCAAATGTTGCTGATAAGCAAGCACCTGCAACAAATTGAAACAATATTATTTCTGCAAGCTACTAAAAAGTTTTTATGTTTGCCACGTTTTAAAATCACAGGGGTGCAAAAAGTACCCGAAGGCGGACCGTTTCTTGTGACCTAGTGATTTTGCGTCACTACAAAATATTTTATTTCCTTCCTGAAAAATGTCAAATCAACCTAAATGATGGATTAAAAAAAAGTGCATCACGTTACCTGAAATCCACCAACTTTGAGATCAGGCATTTTTTGTACCGCTGTGCAGTCCTTCTTAAAATTTATCTTTGGTTATGAGTTTACATAGGAATTTCTTTTGATCAGGCATCAATGGGGGTGATGGGATTTGTGTATTAGGCTCCAATTCAAACAAAGCTTAATTTGTCCTCAAAACTCAAGCTTATGGTCTCATACAAGTTTTAACCAAAAAGGGGAACTTCCCAAGCTGCCGCCTCCGATCGGGCTGAAAAAATTCGTACGAACTCTTTGGATGAATTTATTTGACCCGTATTTTTTTGTTTTTTCCAATGCCCCCTAGAAACACCCCAAAAAAATTCCGAAAAGTCTTGCTTTGAGCGCTCGAGTCTATATTCGCAGTATAGCAGCTTCCGCTACTCCATAGGTGGTGGCTCTGCGGTAGCGCGCTCGCCCAGTGATCCAGCGGGCCCGGGTTCGATTCCCGGGCGCAGCGCCATAATATTACGACCGAATTTTGTATTCTCACACATTTTAACATCGAATCCCATTTGATACATTGGAACTTAAAACATCAATTAATTTACAACCATCACCGAACACAAATTAATCGACGATCAATAACTTCTTCAATTTGAAGTATAGATTTTTTTTTGGGAGCGTTGATTAATTTGTGCTTGGTGATGGTTGTAAATTAATTGATGTTTTAAGTTCCAATGTATCAAATGGGATTCGATGTTAAAATGTGTAAGAATACAATATTTGGTCGTAAAATTATGGCGCGGCGCCCGGGAATCGAACCCGGGCCCGCTGGATCACTGGGCTAGCGCGCTACCGCAGAGCCACCACCTATCGATAAGCGGGTGCTGCTATACTGCGTATATAGACTCGAGCGCTCAAAGCAAAACTTTTCGGAATTTTTTTGGGGTGTTTCTAGGGGGCATTGGAAAAAACAAAAAAATACAGGTCAAATAAATTCATCCAAAGAGTTCGTACGAATTTTTTCAGCCCGATCGGAGGCGGCAGCTTGGGAAGTTCCTCTTGCAAGATATATGTTTTGGAATGTTACTCAGAATTATTTTCATAGTCACGTACCTAATTGTTTTCTGTTTGCTGAAGTTTGTGCAGTTTTTGTGACTTTTGATTCAGGATGTGTGTAAAAAATTCTCTGTTATGCCCAAGCTTAATTTTTTGCTGCCCCAAGGTAACGAAAATGTTGTAGCCTTTGTTGAAGGGGTGGAGGGGAAAGAGGGAGGGGGAGGGATAGGAACAAGTGGGTGGCTCAGAAAATCAACTTCCCTCACTAGGCCTACACATGTCCATTTCAAACGGCATACATATCTATAGGACTCATTGAATTGCATGAAAGGACCTTAAAGCTAATACTACAAGCCTCCAGCAATTAACTTGTAATTGAAATGATTTCCTTTGATTATATCCCCCCCCCCCCATTGATCGTACATTTTTCAATGGAAGTGATCCTCACCGTAAGATGTGGCAGTTATTGCACCGAAAATCATCCGAATTGCAAATTCGAACCAACCAGAAATGCCACCTCTCAGACCAGTTATCCAAAAAACGATACTACTCAATAAGAACGTTTCTATTATTGTCCTTGGAAGCTAAAAGAAAATCAGAATGCTAAGAGTGAAAATCTATGCTAAAAATGAAATGAAAAGTATTTAACATGCAATAGAATCTTCCACAAAAATATTTTGAGCAGAAACTTAGGATAAAAAACAGCTTGCAAGATGATATGGAAAAAACCATACAATTACTTATGAGGCTCATCTGGGATTACGAGCAATTTTCAACAGTTTAACAGGAAATTGATTTGAGAGCTTGAGCAAATTAATCTGTAGCGAGACATGATAATTAAATCTTTGTAAATCTCTGATCAATATTAGAGTGAGACCCTGGATTTTCTTTGTTTTATTTATACACTGTCTCGTCAATCAAGTAGCTTCAAACTAATTTCTATTTGTATGAGGATGTCTAAGAATGGAATTTACCTCAGTACTGAAGATTTAAGTTTTGTGAGTGCAGCATGAACAATTTTTTCAGAAATTTCTTTGCAACATAAGGACAAAAAGTGCTTCTTCAACAGAAATTGAAATTTTGAAGCCAGTCACAATAAAAATTATAAAACTACAGAGGAATAAAAACCAAGTCACCTACCATCATGACTACTTTTGATGTATAATAAGCTGATGTAGAGTAAACATTATCACCAACATCATATAGAAACACAGGAATTTCTTCGGGAAACGTAAATAAAACACTGTACGCTGAACTAAAGATAATTTCAGCCATTGCACTGTACAATAAACCCTGCAGGTTTTGGATTCCAGTTTGATTAATTTGAAGATCTGCGTATGGAACTGACACCATCAACATGACCAACTAGAATTGAAAAAAAAATACACATGATTTTAGATACATGATTGAGGACTTTTATCGGTGAAAGGATAAAACAAATTTTAAATATAAAAAAGCATGCACTTTCTGAAATAGTTGAATTGACCTTAAGATTATTTTGGCATAAAAATCTTTCAAAATTAAGTGATCAAAATTGCAGATGTCCAGAGCATACAGTTATACTACAGTACAGCTTTTATGAAAACATGTTATATGCTCTTTCTCCGGTGCACAACTTTCTTGAGCTGTGGTAATTTGTTTCCTACTACATATTCATGTATTTTATATTGTTCTTTTTTTTTTACTTGGATGGTGAATAAGGAGGATGAGATGTTGAAAACACGTCTCATTTCTGATTGAAACAAGAAAATAAGAGCAATTTAAGCCATCACCCATAAGCCGTGAAATACGGAAATGTCTACTACGCGACTTGATGTATTGATGATGAGTTGCACCTTTTATCACAGAAACGCTGCAAAATGAGAAAATTTCTCTCACTCTATGATCTCTTTTTCACTTCTCTTTGCAGAAAAATGTATGGACTATTTATTATTGACTACCTTGTAGTACAAGGATTCAGAAAAATTAGGCATAAAGTGAGTGCAAGTGCAAGTACATCCTTTTATCAAAAAAGTGTTCCTTTTAATTTTGAAATCCTCCAACTAACGAATAACCCTTTAAAGAAAATTTTCACAAGCTTTGTACAACTTTTTCTTAAAAAGGTCTCCTATAAACTGCATTTCAATAAGCAGGCAGCTTGGAGCAGCTTTTCTCTGAGAGAATTAGTTACAGTTGTTTTGAGACAGCTCTCATACCCAAAATGAGTCGTAATGTGAGACTGCTTGTGCATTAAATTGGCTTGAAAAGTAAAGTCAAATATTATAAAAATGTTTTGTGAGAAAAACTGACCTGAATGAATATTACTTAAAACACATAAAATCTTACCGCGTACAAACAGAATCGAGCAAAGTTGGCTTGAGATGTGCGACGTAAATTGATGTAAGATCTCCATAATAACCACACAAACTGCGTGGAGAGTTTTGCTGGTTGGCTGAAGTAAAAAAAAAACATAATATGGATAATATTGGCAAAATATGATCAATATAGGCAAATAAGCACAAAGCATACAGACTCACAACTTTTATTTGATTCATTAACTACTTGGATATTTCGTTCCGATCTTAGATACCATATATGATTCTATGTTTTAAACAACTATCACGTATTTAATTGCAGAGAAAACGGCATAGTTTTCTTTCTTTCCTTCTTGATACACAAAAAATTTTTCTTGGATCTGTAGTGATTAAAAGAAAGAAAAAAGAAGAAAGAAAAAAAAAATGAATTGAGATGTGGAAAACTGTATCATTGAAACCTGAAGGAAATCAGATAAAGTAAAAAAGTAGAAGAATTTGATTTTTAATTTCGTTTTTAGTGTGTGGCCTATTGCCTGAAAATAATCGAGAGTGTTGAAAACTTCATAGAGAATAGATATTTTAATTTCCTCACGACATTTTTTTTTTCAGGTGCAACAGACAACAGTACAATGGGCCTGTTGCAAAACTTTTGCTAGAGCAAAAATAAGAGTTGTGTCTTACAAAAAATGGCTCGAAAATGACGTTGAGTGCATAAACAAAGTCTGAAATGCACTCCTAACTTCGCAATCAGCTTAAGAAATTCACGTCTTTTTTAGCTTCCCCCTTCAAAAACGATACTACAGCACAGGTGAACTTCTCGGTAGAGGAGTCGTTCCTTCCAACCTTGGTGCAGTAGGACACTACACAATATTCAACATGGCCAACGCCAATCCGCCAAAACTGGCCAAAACTCAGGTACCGGGACAAAATTCTAGCCATTTATTAACAACCTGGCATATTTCCATTCACGTTTTCCTCCTGTTGATAAAGATCCGTCTGGATATCGTCAGTTATGTTGAGTATTGCAAAACATTCTAGTACGCAAGGTTTAAATGGAACGACTCCTCTGACGAAATGTTCACTGGTGCCATGGTATCGTTTTTGAAGCGGGAAGCTCAAAAAAACGTGAATTTCTTACGCTGATTGTGAAGTTAGGAGTGCACTTCAGACTTTGCTGATGCGCTCACTATGATTTTTGAGCCATTTTCTATAAGATACAACTCTTATTTTTGCTCTAGCAAAAATTTGCAACAGGTCCATTTTAAAACGATTCGACTCGTTGATGATACCTCGTAATGAGCAAAGTGATAAATACCTACATTTTGCAAAGGTCAGAAAATTGGAGGTTACATTTGTCTTTGGATCCAAAACCAATTGCATCCAACTCATTCAATAAAGCAGCACAAGCGGCTGAGCGTTTGAAGCTATCAGCAATGCGGTTCACTCTCTTCTGCTCGCTATTTACATCTTCAGTGGGGAGAGTCGCCACTGTAGAGACCAAAAATTCAGCCTGATTAAACGTGGGAGGGCATATCAAACCAATACTGAAAAACAGAATATTAAATCAAAGTAATAATATTATCTAAAAAACCTTACACAAACAGACACAGAACAGCAACAGCTATCAATTTGAACACCTTCCTACCGATTGACTACAATTCATGAATTATATTACGACAAAAAAAGTGCGATAAGATTTACTCTATAGCCTGAATTTTTTCAGCATTTTGACGACGGGAGGATTACTTGGATCAAATTTAGCAAAAAGGAACTACCACAATTGCAATGTTTTCAAAATCGTGCAACTTTATCTTTTCTTTTAAAAATACTTAGTGTATGTACAGTATTAAAATTTACAGAATAATTTTCCTTTGAAATTAACAATTTTTTGATGGGAAGCTAAAACTGTTTGCCATTCTGGAAGATTTTTTAGATAATTATTGAGAAGCACATTTTTACAACACCGTAACTGCGCTGGTTCCAATTTGCTGAATACGATCCACTTAATCAATGTTTGATGTACTTATAAAGTCTTCAAAAGTATCACACTTTAAAACAAGAGATTTTGACTAGTTCTCAAGAGTCAGAGCTAAGCTACTCTCTTTTCTTCCCAGGTGATCACTAGATTAAAAAGACTCAATATTTGTTCACATTCAGGATACAACCTTAGGTTCATGTTTGGACTTTGGATTTCTTAACTCATAAAGTGTGAATACTCCGGAAAATGTGCATTAGGGTTTTTTTTTTTAATGTTCACAGGCTGCTTGATGAGAGAATCATGACTGCGGTCTCAGTTATATGTTTTTAGTTATTCATTTCATCTTGATTCGGGCCTTTGTTCTAAAATCACTTTTGTGAGAAAAAAGCCTTTAGAAACCTAGAAAAATCATTTTCACATATGTATTTGTAAAATTATCTCGCCCAGCCAATGGGTGCCAACAAGGTTGCAGCAATGTTTTTTCACGTCACTTTCCGCCGCCACCGCAAGTAACATTGCCAAAATCTTTCTGAAACCTTTTTGTCAACTATTAGCAGCGCGGGAGTTAAATATTTATGAACTCCATAAGAAAATTGAAAGGTGCTCACTTTTTAAAATGATCCAAAACTGTGGAAACTTCACCATGGTAGGCCAATTTTCCTCCACTGACTAGCAAAGACACAGAATCAAATTTTTCAAACACCCCTGATGTCGGTTGGTGAATGGCGCAGATTATCATTTTACCTTCATTCGCTAAGCGGCGTAGTAATTTTATCACGTTCATTGCACTAAAACTGTCTAGACCTGTCGTTGGCTCATCACAGAAGAGGATTTGAGGGTTCATCAGGAGCTGAAAATGTCAAAATTTGGCTCAAACATTAAATTTCATTTATCTGGGTGCTTATAAGTAATTAAATTAATTTAGGTGATTTTAACAAGTGACTAAAATGAGAAATAATCAATTTATATTTTTCGACTATTATTACAAGATTATTTCACCAAGTGAAAGATAAATCTTCCTCTGTTTCTAAAAGTATAGGAAAATTTTAGTTAAAAGAGAGACACACAGAACTCTGATTGTGATTTCTTAAGGTGAATTCTAGCTTAAAAAGGAAAGTTTCTGATAAAATTGCTTCAGAATTTTGATTGAATTGCAGAGAAAAAATTTATAGGATTCAAGTTGCAATTCCTGGTCAATTTCTTCTTTTACGAGGTCTGTCCGGAACGTATCTAACCTTATTGATTATATCACCATCAACAGTTGATAAGAGGTTGGGGCTTGGGATTATCTTTGCAGGGACTCTCCAGAGTGCAGGTGCACAGCCGGATTATCATACGTTGTATCAGTCATTAGTAATTTGCTAATCAATGCGTGCTATTCTACTGTGATCATCGGATTTTGTTTTTCCTAAAAAAGAAGAAGTTAAGGAGAGTGGGGTGGGAAGAGTTTGTGAAGAAGAGCATCGCAAGGGGTGCGTCTTGGGTCTACAGGTACGACCCTGGGATAAAAGTGCAATCGTCAGTTTGGACCGCACCTGGGAGACCTCGCCCGTAGAGAGCTCGGAAGAGTCGCAGCAATGTGTAGACAATTTTGACTGTCTTCTTTGATCATGAAGGTGTCGTCCATCATGAATACGCTCCCCAATGTTCTACTATCAATGGAGAGAGCTACCAAGAAAATTTACGCAGCTTAAAGGGCCTTGGGGAGTGATGATTCATGATGGGCGACACAATCATGATCGAAGAAGACAGTCAATATTGTCTTCACATTGCGGCGACTCTTCCAAGCTTTGTATGGGCGAGGTCTCCCAGGTGCGGTCCAAACTGACGATTGCACTTTTATCCCAGGGTCGTACCTGTAGACCCAAGACGCATCCCTTGCGATGCTCTTCTTCACAAACTCTTCCCACCCCACTCTCCTGAACTTCTTTTTTAGGAAAAACAAAATCCGACGATCACAGTAGAGTAGCACGCATTGATTAGCGAATTACCAACGACTGATTCGACGTGTGATAATCCGGCTGTGCACCTGCACACAGGAGAGTTCCTCCAAAGATAATCTCAAGCCCCAACCTCTTATCAACGGTTGATGGCGAGATAATCAACAAGGTCAGATACGTTCCGGACAGACCTCGTAAAAGAAGAAATTGACCAGGAATTGCAACTTGAATCCTATAAATTTTTTCTCTGCAATTCAATCAAAATTCTGAAGCAATTTTATCAGAAACTTTCCGTTTTAAGCTAGAATTCACCTTAAGAAATCACAATTAGAGTTCTTAAGTAACTTCCTATTGGTATTTGTGGATGAATTAAAATTAGAATTGTCATTTCATTTGCAAAATTTGAGTGAGTACTTTCTTTAAGATGGGTAAGAAAGGCTGAAAATAATAAGATTTGATCAAATGCCAAGTTTCTTTGTCAAATAATGACAGAGATAATGTTCTTTGAAGAAAAAACTGGATGATGTCATCAACTCCTGACTATGGTCTCTCCTACCTCAGTATATTTTTAAAGCATAAGCGGTAACCAGGTCTTTAAAGTGCTCAGCTGACAGAGAACACGTTTTGCTTTCAACTCACCACTATTACCCTAGAGTACTGTTGCTGCATCAATTCAATAGGGTGCCAACTCAACAGTAAGGTAGCAGAGAGATGCCTCACATTTTCATAGGAAATTGGTTCATTACATCATTTTAAACGCTCAGCTGATAAGAAGCGCTTTTTGATTTCGACCTGCCTGTAGAATTCTGGTATACTAGTGGCAATACATTCAAATGATGCACCAACTCAACAACAAGATGGCAGATAGGGGCCCCACATATTTAGGATGGATTTGTCAATTATACCTACCTTTATTTAATGCTTCTGATATCAAAGAGCAGAGGACGATAATCGTAATTCCATAATTTATTTTTTTAACAGTGGTGTATTTCTTTCAAAATTGATAGCTGAAATTTTGGTGAGGCAAGTTATTTCACTCAGCGTTGCTCATCTTCTTTGGGGAACTTAAAAACACCCCTACATAGAAAATACCTGAGCTACCTTCTTCTAATACAAACGTATTAAAGCTTTCTCTCCTTTTACATGACAAACCACAGATAATATGAATACTTTTTCTGAAACTCGCAGTTAGTAAAAACTTACCCAATTTTGTGACCTTTATGATTTGTCACAATTATGATAAAGAATGTGCTCTCATTTTTAGGGTTTTGAAAAGTAAAATAAATTCAATTTCTTCCTCAGGGAAACTTACTGAATAGAATATGAATAAATTTACAATTCTTGAATTGTAACACTGCTGAATCCATTTCTACAAGGGTCGTCCAGAAAGTAAGTTTACCTATTTAATATCTCCTAAACTAAAATAGATAAAGAAAAGCTGTAAAAAGCGTTGAAAATCCACTACTTTCAGCATTCTAATGTGCGATAGATTTTTAAATTTGGTTTAATTAAAGTCTAGGGATTTGAATTTTTCGGAACCCACCTCCTCTCCGCGCAGGCCCAAAATTTCACGTACCTGGTCATGGACAAGCATTGAAGCAGCAATAATTTGTGTAATTTTGAAAAAGGAGGGATGAATGATCCAGTTTCAACTCGGCTTTGCTGTCAGCTGAAGTTTGTTCTTCAGTTCTTATTTTAGAGAGTTGACAGACTGAATTAAATAACAATGCACAATACTTAATAATTACCTGATTAGCCAAGCCTAATCTTTTTCTTTGGCCACCAGATAGCGCTGATAATTGAGTATCCGCCCTGTGACTGAGACTAAGATGTTCAATGACATTGGTAACGATTAACAACAATTCTTTCCATGAAGTGTGTCGATCCATTTTCAGTCGTGCCTGAAAATCGTAAGTGCATTTTAGAAAAATGAATGTGTAACTAATTGTTTTTGCACCCAACTAATTTAAAATTCCCAGTAAAATTTAAATTTGACCATATCGCTCACCGAATCAATAATATTGATAGATTTTGCATAAAGGTTTAAAAGTTATTACAATATTTCTCTCTCTCTAATGTTATAAAGCCTCTCAATCTTTGGGAAGTGAACTGGTCCACAACAAAGGTTTGATCCATCCTTAAAAGTTCGATTTTGACACCCTAAAGAAATCTCATAAAGGCACAGAAAAGATTTGAATCCATTGTGCCACTCACTAGAGGAAGTCGTGCAGTATCCCCTTCAGATTTTGATCAGAGTATGGCCGAAAGTTTCATCAAAGGAAATATTGAACTTTTATCTTACAGTCTTTGTGAATAGACTCCAAATTAAAATATTAGGTTATCGAATCTGAGCCACTCCACTAACGCAGTGCAGAAACACGAACAGCTTTACTTTGCCACCTCAGCAGGTGACCTTTTTTGTCAATTTTGGACATTTTTTCTTTGGATCTTCTAGGGTTCATTCATGAAAATAGGGGTCCAATTGTTTGGTGTGAAGAATCATAAGCCATAATCCAATTAAAATGTGAGTGGGATACAATGAAACTTTTGCTTGTCAGTGGGCAGACAAAAGTTTGGAAGTTGTAGTCTGGATGCATCTTTGGTGACGAGCAGTTTTGAAAAATAATTTGATCTAATCTAAATTACCATAAATTCCAGATGCTCTTGCACAGTGAGACTTTCAATGGAGAGATCTTTTTGTGGCACAAAACCAGAAATCTTTGACATTAGCTCTTGGTCCACATTGCATCCATTCAGTAAAATTTGTCCTTCTACATGACCTGAAAGGCAAAAATTACAACTTTTAAAAAAAAAAATCGATTTCAACTGAAAAGAATTGTACCATCATCCGTTTTTTCTCTTATTAAATTCAGAAGTTTTTTAAAACTTTTGACAATTGTGCTAACAACAAAACGATGTGGTTTCAGTGAGATTTTGTGTTTGGATACACAAACCTACTGAGGAATCTTTCCATGCAAAAATTATGAACTCGTCGTCGCCCGCACTTGTGATCGAATCTCCATTATGCTGTTTCTGTGTTTCTTACTGACACTTTATTTGTTTACAGGACAACCGTCTCATGAATTTTCTTGGAATTTCAAGAAATTTTTCTATCATCTCAAAAAGAATTTATGCTGTTTGCAGACTAATATGTGTGAGATTCTGTTGTAAAAAAAAAATGATCTTAGAAATACTGAAACAGAGCAGACATGATACATCCCTCAGTGCAGGAGACGACGTACTGCAATTAGGAGCCGGATAAAATTCCGTACACTTTCTGGTACTTACATTTTGACCTTTTGTTCAGAGCTGCCAAGAGGGAGGTTTTACCAGCACCACTGGAAAGGAAAAGAAAAACGGTAAAGAAACTGAAGGGGAAAATGAATGAAACGTTTCAACTTTTCCATACAAAATGATTCACTTTAAGGTACTTCTTCCTAGGTGCTCTTTTATAGGTGAGAGTCATTGAAAAATCGATTGCTGTGCATCTTAGGCTTAAAATCATGATTTTGTCAATTTTCATTTAGATCGCAATTAGCAAAAAGGAACCAGCACAATTACAGTGTTGAAAAAAATGTTGATTCTTCATAATTATCTAAAAAATCTCTCAGAATCGCAAATATCTTTTGCTCCCCAGCCAAAAACTGTTAATTTTAAAGGAAAATAAGTGAGTAAATTTTAAAGCAGTAAATATATTGAGTATTTTTAAAAGGAAAGAGGAAGTTGCACGATTTTGAAAACACTGTGATTGCGCTGGTCCTTTTTGCTAAATGCAATCCATTTGATTAAAGGCTTTAGAAGTTTCCGTAATTTTTAAGTTCAAGAGGTGTCCTTAAAAAAAGATCTTCCATTTGATGAAAGGAATTAAAAATAAAATTATGGTGAAAAGATAATTTTGACACCAGTGATAACTACAAACACATTTGGTGGTTCGGGCTTTATAATTTTTAGCTCCATTCCAACTTTAATGTATGATGTGGAATAATTTAGTAAGTACTTCAAAAGAACAATAACAAATGTAAATACCTTGGGCTCATTACTGCTGTCAAAGTGCCAGATTTAGCAATTCCGGAAACTGGAAAAAATAAGGGTAAAAGAGTGATTTACAAACAAGCAAGTGAAGAATAAAACTTAATGAAAGTATTCAACAATAGAAGAAACTGTTTGCAAAAATTGAACACTGACAGAAAAAATGGGAGGAATTTCACTTAGATTATCTAGAAACTAGCAATTATTTAAGCTTCATTGTGACGTCTTCAAAATTAAAACTTTCTGTTTCTACTACAGGTTTAAATTTCCTTCTTTGGTCAACAAAAGTTCAGTAAAACTTAGAAATGAAAGAAAAAACAAATTGGTATGAAATATTTTTCATAAAAAAACTTTCTTGTTGATCTTTGACAATTTAAAGCAAAACCTGTCCACACGACAAAATTAAACAGAGAGTGGAAAAAAAGGGGGGAAAAACACTTACCATCAGATATAATGGGAGAAGAGTGAAGATTCTTTGAAGGCTTCTCCGCGTAACATGTAACATTTTTCCAGGAAAGTACCAAAAAGTCATGCATGAGGTCTGGAATGGTATCCCTGAAAAAGAAGGAACAAAAATTAACATTTATATATTAAGTCCCAAGAGTGATAAAAATGTGTCTCTATCCTGAAAAACGAGAGAGTACGAAAGAAGGAGGACTCATTGAATGTGGAAGTCACAAGGTGATAAGAGCCCTCTGATAATGGCGAGGCTAGAATCAATATTACAACTGGGACTGTTGGAGACTTGAGCAGGTGGATAGAAAAGTAAACCAAGTTTTGGAGCTCTTGATGAGGGGCATTTTTTCATTATTTTCTTTTTAAAAGAGTATAACAATTATGTNATTTTTCATAAAAAAACTTTCTTGTTGATCTTTGACAATTTAAAGCAAAACCTGTCCACACGACAAAATTAAACAGAGAGTGGAAAAAAAGGGGGGAAAAACACTTACCATCAGATATAATGGGAGAAGAGTGAAGATTCTTTGAAGGCTTCTCCGCGTAACATGTAACATTTTTCCAGGAAAGTACCAAAAAGTCATGCATGAGGTCTGGAATGGTATCCCTGAAAAAGAAGGAACAAAAATTAACATTTACATATTAAGTCCCAAGAGTGATTAAAATGTGTCTCTATCCTGAAAAACGAGAGAGTACGAAAGAAGGAGGACTCATTGAATGTGGAAGTCACAAGGTGATAAGCGCACTCTGATAATGGCGAGGCTAGAATCAATATTACAACTGGGACTCTTGGAGACTTGAGCAGGTGGATAGAAAAGTAAACCAAGTTTTGGAGCTCTTGATGAGGGGCATTTTTTCATTATTTTCTTTTCAAAAGAGAATAACAATTATGTATGCATGAAAGTAGGTAATTGGTTCATTTCATTTAAAGTTCATCACTCCAAAAATGTTATAATCTAGATTACTTGTTCATGTACAGAGATAAGAAAGTACATAGTAGGCAGTCACGTGGAATTTACTGCTTGTGAGATGGAAGTGATTAATTAAGCGTTTTGCATAGCAAGTTGTAAAGAAAGTAAACAAAGATAAAGAGAGAATATTCAACTATTAGAGGTAAAATATTTACATATGTGATGGGATAAATCCACTTCAAACTTTAGATTATCTTAGACTTAGAATAAAAAAAAAGAGAGAAAAATTGAACTTTTAACGAACTCTTTAAAATGAAAAAATTGGCTGTATAAGCTGGAGAATCCTCACAGCATACTGTATTGACCAAACATTTTTAAAAATTAGTCTTAGATTCGCCAGCTTATTGATTGACCTTGTTAAAAATAAATGTTGCAGTTGCACAATCATTGCAGCATGAGCTGACATTGCAATATATGTGAAAATGTATCACGTAAAAACAAAGTGCAATATGGCCATCCAGTTGTGGTCCAGTTGTGTTTTGAAACTATCCTATTGGTAGTAGGTACTATGCCTGGCAATAGAGTATTCCCATGACCTCATATAGCCTGATGCATGGACATTTCCAGCAATATTGGTCGGGAGTTTTGTGGAAATAAAAGCAGCATGGTGATAAATTAGGTAGCTACCAATATTGCGGCAATGCTGCACATTTGCCCGGATCATATCCCTGACAAGTCAAATCTAACCTTAATCAGTCCCATGAGCAAGCACATGGCAAGCATGATAAATTCAAGGAAGGCAACTCGCAAAAAAGCTTTCCGACGGACTCTTCAAAAACTAAAAATCGAATACCTATTCGTCATTTGAAGGGTTCTGGAAGAGGCTTATCAATGTGAAATACGTCAAAAGCACCAGCGTCAAAAGTTGGTCATGGAGGGGTCAACTTGGAGAACGAACACAATCACCACTCATTCGGACGGCACGTCACAAACGCGGACCCGCACTAAAAAAGTGGATTCGGAGGCGAGTTGACGCAACGAATACTCACATTTTACGAAAAATCCGCTTTGAAAAACCGTTGGGGAGCGGGACAAGCGAGCACTAGGCATGACAAGGTCCCGGAGCATGAGAAACTGTCGTATCAGCGTTATCGGGCCTGGGGTGGCTAAGGAAAATAGAAGATAAGTCGTAGTCGCTGGAGATAGGTAGCGCGGAGTTATCGAGACTCGTGTGTTGCGTTGCGCGTCGCGCTCGCGCGTATGTAAATCCAAGGTGATTCTAACGCCCGACCTCTCGGGCCTCTTCCAACTCGGCTCCGAGCTCCTGGCTCGGCGCCTGCTTGCCCAGCAAACGGGCTGTTACCCGAGGTCCTATCACAGATATTGGCACATTTTCCAGCAACATTGTACCGCGCAACGTTGCCGCATATCCCGCGCCTCCCCATATTTCCGCACCACGGGCACCGGCTCAGCCTCTGGCCTCAAAGGCATGCTCCGCCGGAGGCCACAACAAGTCCTTTCCAGTAGAAGCCACGTAACTGCCTTTCCATGATATTTCTGATTGGAAATTTGGCTGATTTTTAATTTGATAACGCCCAAATATCGGCAGCGTGTTGGACAAAAACTGAGCGCTCAAATCCTTCAAAAAGTTTGATTGTTGCCGAGTCAAAGTTCTAGTTTGGAATGGAGTCAGGTAAGTTCTCTTGTATGCGTAGCGACGAAGAGCTGGAATAGGATTGCACCCAGAAGAGGGTATACCTACCTGCTATGGAAGGAGGTGCGAAGGAGAGAACGTCAGATCATTCAAGTTGAAAATAACATCGTATTCGACGTCACGGCCAGCATGATCATGTTAAAAGGATGCCGAGAGGAAGGCTGATACCGCCAAGATGCTTGGTTGGGTTCCTATGTGTGGAGAAGAAGGGGAGGCCCAGTGAGGAGGTAACGACAGAGAGTTTTGCACGAAAGAATGAGTATCAATTACCCTGAGGGGTTTTGGAGGGGTAGGAGACTGTGGCTGTCGGGCGTCGCAGAGCTTTAGAGAGCGCTGAGAAAGCGGTTCGTATGTGCGCGAGTTCGAGTTTTTTCAAGAAACGAATACTTAGGTAGAAAAGCAAAAAATGCTCGAGCGAGCGAGCCCTAGCTCGCGCGCGACAGGTTATATGGGGGAGGGGGGTTGGGTTTGGCAAAAAATGATACGTTGAAAAGCGCTTTGATTTTTGAAAATTTTTGGCTCAACGTGTCCCTTCGACTTGATATTGACGAGTGAGGACATTTTGAAACTGCTCGTGATTGTTCGGAAGATTTTTGCACCCCTGAGAGGGTACAGCATTTTGAAACGATTATGTATATACGTGGGCTTTTGAAAGTCGCCGTTTTTTATTGAAGTCCAGTTTCCTCGGGAGTAATAAAAGCGACGGGGCAAACACCGCGACTGCATGCGCGCGCATGCGTGGAAACGTGGGAATCTGCGGTCACGCGAAAGTGTCCGCAAACCTGCTGCCGCATTCCAGAAAAACCGCACTAATCTGCGAGTACATGCAAAACCGCAAAATTTTGTTCTTTCGCGGATTTTTGAAAATTCGCGGTAAAAGGCGCGTAGAAAATTTTGACCATCGATTGGTCGGAGGAAGATACGACTTGACCAATCAAAGGACTTCCAAATCACCCAGCGGAAACTGACGAAATGCGAATGAGGTGCAGTCCGCACATGTAAAAAAATAAAAAAATAAATGAAATGCGTAAACAAGACTTTGACATTAGTCACATGAATTACTTCGGTCTCTCCAGTGTATTTTTATGCTCCTTCTACTGTGCAATCCGCGGCCTAGCAGCCTCAGCTTAAGTCGAAATTTCTGAAGAGAAAAAAAAACTCGACAACGCTGTATTTGATGAGAAACTCACAAACTCAGATGGGAAGAAAAAAAGGAGAAAAAAAGCATACTAATTGATTATGAGCCTGGCTCGACTTCTAGCTCGACAACATTCAGTCAGAACCGAGAGAGGAGGGAAGAGGGGGCCAGGTCCAGGCAGCAATGCAGCATCCTCCGGAAAACATGCCGTGGTCCAGAGAGGGGGCAGCGGGCACTTGACCCACAATCAATGTCCACTCGAAAAAAGGTCAGTAACTGAGGATCTTGGGATGAGGCATGGAAAAAACCTGGAGAAAGCAGGAAAGGAGGGGGATCTATATTTAGACGTCTCGAGTCCCGATTTAAATCCGAAAGCTATGTCGCGGGACCACTTTTTCTCCGACCTCGCGGATTTACATAATACTGCGCCGCGCCGCGCCGCGCCGCGGCCGACCAAGTGGAAGTGTCCCGTCCCGTCGTTGGTCCTCAGCTCCTCACCTGTGCTGTGCGGGCCGGTTTGTCTCTGGGGCCCGGGTCGTGCGCCCGGTGGGGTGGGTGTGTTTGTGTTTATCTTACGAGATTAGCGTGAGAGCCGTTTTAACGTCAGTGTCCGCATGGAGGGGATCGCAAGTTACGTCATCCGCATGAGCATGCATTATATTTTAGTGCATACTTATGGCATTTGCACCAAAACAACCAACTAAATGCTCCTCAAGGCACAAACGTTCACCGAGGGTAGGACATAGATGGTGCGCGGAAATTTCAGGGTAATGTTGCGCGGCAACTAGAGAGCAACTAGGGGGCATGCCCCCTGGCCGCTGCGCGGCCCAACCCCCGGAGGGCGCCTCGCGCGCTCTCTCAGGCCCGCTTCGACGAAAGAACGACCCAAAAAAAGAAAAGATTTTCATATCCGACTCTCGTTTGTTCAATTTCCCTATGGCCGGGAGCAAAGAATCGTAGGAAAAAAATCGTCATTTATTTCAAACTTCACGCTAAGACTAAACGAAATGGAACGGAGCGTTTCGTTGCTTTTGGATACAAAGTCTATGGCAAAGGAGCGTACCTTCGATTCACTTACTTTACCCTGCTCACAGATCAAGATTCAATATTTCCCGCTTTGCACTATTTTCCGCTAAATTTGAAATTCCCGCCATTTATCAGTGGCGGGAATTTCAAATTTTGCCCCCCTTTCTAAGCTTCCTGGTCTCCTCTAATATAAAAAAACCAGAGTCCTATTTTCAAATTTTGATAACAGCCGCCTCCCCTAGAGACTATCACCTGTCGATAACCGCAAAAATTATGGAAATCGGCCCGGTAGAACGCTCAAACGAACTGTGAAAACAAATAAAAATTTACATTGTTTAAATGGGAGAATTCGCAACTTTACCACGTGATATAAAAAACCTGGGTCATATTAGTGAAATCTGAATAAGGCGGGCTCATTTAGAGACAATTGCCTGTCGATAGCCGCAAAAATCATCCTCGGTAGAACGCTGGAACTACGCGTTACCAGATACTCAAATTTACGAGGAATCGGAGCTTAAAGTATAGATGTTGGCAACATTAGGGCAGTGTTGGGCTAACATGCACAAATTGAGACTCAGGCACAACGTTGGGCAGCGACTACAGGGCCATGATATCAAGCAGTGACTTCAGCGCTAAGTTATGTGACTCAAGATAATGTTGAGTGGAAATGCCAATGCATTTACTTGCATGCATCAAGGTGCTTAGCAAATTTTCTTCAAAAACTTAACTTTCCAAGCAATTACAATAAAAGGATGCATGAACAGACATTAAAAGTCAACCTAAAATTACATACAAAGATGCTCATTTTACAGACACTCTTAAAAAATGAGCTTGAGGTTAAAATCTCTCCTGATTATAGAAGAGGCTTTTTGCTACCTTGTGAAGAGCTAAAAAAGTAGATTATATATTCATAGAATATGTTGGGGCACATCAATTTTAATTGCCGACTGAGTGTCGCCAATTTCAGGAAATTTTTCCCTCTGATGGCTCCTTTTATGGAGTTTAAAAATCACAAATAATGCATGCTCAAGTGCTCAACTAAATTGGGTACTTAAACATTCCTCCGATGACTCTGTTAGGTTCTGCTGGGAAAATCTCTGGCTAAAAATGTCCGCATAAACACATTTTTAAGTTATTCCAGTTTCTAATATCAATTAATACAATAACCTATTTTTTATTTCTTTAAAAAAATCACCAATGAGAGAGATATTATATCAAAGTTTTTCTTATTCAATTTCTGAAATTTCTGGTGATTGTTTGATCTTTTTGATTGGATCCTTCTGATGAGAAATAAAATCCTCCAATCTTTATCTGCTTCCAAGCTTAAAGACATGAATATATTTTTTAACTGTCCAAGTTATGATGAGGTATTCAAGATTTGTAGATAAAGTTGTCTTGTCTGTGGATGGAAATATGTTGAATGCAGCTAACATTACTTTCTGAGAGAAAACTTAAGTCTCATGCAATAAAGTACCAAAAACGACTGAAACACCAAAAAAAAAACCAGAATCTTTAAACAGCATGCAACATCATTTACTTAATTCATCATGCAATACAGGAGTTGGTTTGGCGAAATTCAACTTACATTTAAAATGAAATTACAATTTCTCTTGGTACTATAGATTACATTTTAGGTTCTCCGGCTACCATGAATTTTTCAAAACCACACTCATTGGTCCCACGGCGGATTTTGAAAGTCCCATTTTCGCCCCACTTTTTGCCCCAGGAATTGATCGCGAGCCAGTACGGTTTGCCACCTTCTTCACCCCAGCCAATGACTCGCACTGCGTGGCCTCCAAAGCTCTTGCCACTTGTGTGCTCATAAACACCTGAAAATGAGGGCAAAAGAAAATGACTTTGAATGAAAGGGAGATGCGCAAGCACACATAAAATAAGGAATGGCATACCATGAAAACAGTCAACAGCAATGACAGATAGCAATCTCTCTGCTGCTGACAGAAGTCATCTGGCGTTGCCTCAAGTGCCAAAATATATCAAAATAAGCCTTCTACTCTTGATTACCTTATCATTAAAGCAAAACATCTTGTTAACTAGAAAATTTGGCAAAATATGATAAAACAGAATGAATAAACGAAGTGGAAAAGTTACTAGAATGTCTAGCAAATTACAGTTCTGTTTTTATGCTTACTTTGTATATTCATTTTGTGTTTTGTCTTTTGGCTAAAACATTTAACCAAGAGTCTTAATACTGTTAGAATTTCTGTAATTTCAGACATCGCGCAGCAGCGCGATAGAAGGAGAATATGCAATGTTGCAGTTTTGTGGACGTGGTTGCTAGCGCGCTCCACTTCGTTAGTCGTTCTGAATACCGCAGTATGTGACGCCTCGGTCCAACACTTCTTGTTTATTAAAATAAAACCAATGTCCAACTTTACATCGATTCGCCTGCTTCATTGTTTAAAAAACAACAAATACATAATTAAACATATCCGAGTCTATTCAGAAATCACAAAAAAAAAGGTGCATCTCAAAATTATTCACAAGCGTATTTTTGGTAAAAATTTTAAAATCCTTGAGAAGTTTATGATCATTTACATAAAATTGCACCTGTTTTCACATGACATGTACAACTATATAAACACAGATTTCAACATACCTCTCTTGTAGTAATGAAAATCAGTGTAGACAGTAAAGCCAGTTACAACTGAGCCGTATGCCATTATCTCCCTCTGTATTTCCTCAATATTTTGCTTTAAAGCATAGGCACTTTTGCCTGAAAAAATAAAAAAGACAAATTCAAGATACATAGTTCTTTTCTAAGTATGAAGAAAATCCCCATCAAAGTAAATCATAATCATAAGTAAATCATATTTAATAAGTAATCATAATTTAATACATAATTTAGCCCTACATATTTATATTGAAATAAGGGAAGATATCTCTGTACAACATAAAGATAACACTTCTAATATCATTCAGAAACACAACTCATGACATCAGAGATGCAGATTGATAAATTTAAAGTATGTTAGATATATTTACACGGACATATTTAAGAAACTAGTCGTGATTAGCTCGCTTTGCGAGCTGACACGTCTAGCCGGGGAGTGCCCCTGGACCCCAGTTCTACGCTTCGCGACGAACTTGCGACTCGCTCCGCGAGCCGCCACCGCCCCGCACAGTTTTTAACATTGATGAGGAGACAACATCTATGTCTTAATCTTCTTTTTCACCAAGTTTTACAGAAATTGATGTTCTAGGAGTCCGGACCGCGTTTTCCTGCGGGGCCGCCATCTTGGATTTGGAAATGTTGAAAATCTGACCAAAAATGCGAGTTTTCCGTCGAAATACACCTCCTAATACCGAATTTCATAAAAATCGATCGATATCAGGAGGCGATATAGCATTTTAGGCCACGGCCACCATCTTGGATTTTGAAATTTTGAAAATCTGACCAAAAATTCGAGTTTCCCGTCGAAACATACCCCCGGATACGAAGTTTCACGAAAATCGATCAAACAGGAGCCGACTTAGCATTTTAGGCCACGGCCGCCATCTTGGATTTTGAAATTTTGAAAATCTGACCAAAAATTCGAGTTTCCCGTCGAAAAGTACCCCCGGATTCCGAGTTTCACGAAAATCCGTTGAAAAATACCTCCTAAAACCTTATATTTCGTCTGTAAGGCAGTGACGTCACGCAACAGGATTGAACCTGTTCGGCGCGATGCGCGTAAACAACCGCGTATCTCCAATGTAATACTATATGGAGAAATAACTTTTCGCTCTTGCGGGCATCCGAGGCAGCGGATTTGAATGGGAATAATTTTAATCAACTCCTCCTTACCATAACTAAGCGTTTACCAATTTTAAAGGAAATCGCTTCGGCCAATTTTTATCTAGGGGGGGCAGAGTGAGTGGGAACAGCAGCTTTATATAGAGTAATGATCAAAAATGGAAATACCACACAAGGACTGTTAATAAACCTCACACTGATTTGCAGGATTGCACTAAGTACATCAGCATTTTTGTTCACTAAGCACTTTTTCATAAAGGGAAGAGAGATGAAGAGACATGTATCATATCAGATATTGGCAGCTCTTGTCTCTTTACTTCAGGGTGTCAAGAATGTTTTAATTTTCTCATTCCCTGGTATTTCTTTGATTTTTACGGACAAATTGCTTGATAAAAATCTGCTCATCATTTCCTCTTTGACTCTTCAATTCTGAGCAAATAAAGCAGATTTTCTTTAAAGTTTCAGGTAATTCCTCAGAAAAAGTCAGACAGGATCACAAAATTTAAAAAAAAAAAAAAAAAAAAAAAAAAAAAAAAAAAAAAAAAAATGACCTATATGAACAGAAATAGAAGAAAATTCCAGTTTCCAACACTAACTATCAACAAAATTTTTTGCTTACTGATGAATCCTTGTAAATTCTAGTTTTTTTTTTGGACCTCATCACCATGATTCAGTTTCCGTTGGTGAGGTACAAGAGACGGACCCCTGGCTAAGCAACAGGAGAGTAAAACATTTTGGACATCTAATTTACTGTAGGTACAATTTTTTAAAGTGAAATTTTTGCACAATAGCTCTCTAGCCAAGGTATGATGTTTTCTCTTTAGAGTTTAACAAGGAAAACGGAAAATCTGGAGATCAATTTGCAACAAGATACAGTACCTATTCACCATTAATATTAACAAAAACACAAATGACAGCGTTTGTTTACTAAAACTTCCCTTTGTTTTGTGTTAAAAATACTTGTTGATACCTCACTCAGGAGTTGATTTCCAAACTATGCAGTGTAAGAATCGATTTCTCCAAGAAATTTTAAAGAGAGAACGTTTTAAACAAGTTCAGACCTTGTCCAGTGGCCAATTACTTCATTTTTTAAAGCTCTCCAATATGCAATATCTGCTCAGTTTTTCCTTCAGACGCACACAAAAAATGATAAATCTTACCATGATATGATTCACTTCTATAAGGAGCGCCATACTTAGGGTTTGTGCAGTATGCTTTGCATTTAGGAGTGTCAGCCTCATCTTTGGAGCATTTTGGTTCACCCTCTCTGCCACATGGTGCGATGCTATAAGGCTGACATCCCTGAAACAGCCATGTGAGCAAAATATTAAAGAAAAGAAAATGCATTTTTCTAAGTTTTACTGCATCAAAAAAACTAAAATTCCCCAGCATTTTCACCTGATGCTTTATTGTCATGAATGAAAAAGTGGCAACAGCACCTGCCCTCAATTTTAATATCGACGCCAAGTTCTCAATTTTCTGAGCTCTCCGTTATGATAAACATTAATGATAGTGAAAAATTTTAATCCCTCATGACCTTCTGTTAGAATTGTTTTCTGGGCTATCCTAGCTATGGACATGCCCTAAAAATTCCAACACATTCATGTTGAAGGTAAAATTAAAATTCATAACTTGATTATGGTGCTTTAGAATTTCTGCTCCAGCTCAATTTTTTTGATAGATGATACAGAACATTTTTCGCAAAACTTTTGAAGAATATTCTTGAAAAGACGAGGCAAACACATTAAATTGTGAATTATATAGCTGAAACAGAGTCATCCTTCAAAAAAGTATAGTATTACAGGAAACCTACAGCGTCATAAACGAGGCTAAACCATTGATTTGCTACCTACCTCATATGAGTTATATTCACCACCCGTGATGTCACCCTCCCTCTTAAAGTGAAGCCAGACTTTATCAACATAACCTCCGCCACAGCCTCGCCCACATTTATCGCAACAAGATATGATGCTTTCTGCAGACACTTTCGGTTTCTTTGCTCCCTTTGATGCAATACAGATTCGGTCAGACATAGCTGATGCTGAGGCTATTGCCTGTAACAGAAACCTTTGTAAAGATTGAGGCCAACAGGAAGAGTATCAAATAGCATTTTTTGAGGCAAAAATTAATTATTGAACAAATATTAGAAACTTGCAACTTCAAGTCAACAAATGGAAAATTTATTTTGATCAAATTACACTTTTATTTGATAACTTACGGGACAGATAGGATAATTCAAGCTCAAGGTGGGAGAGGGGCACTTTTCGGTTGTGGTAGGTTAGAACCTCCCCCAATATTTCATTTATTGTGAGAAAATGAATGCAAACTCCAATGCATCTGCCTGAACTGAACACTCTTCCCTTTTAGTCTTGATACTCATTAGAGCTCAAATTTTTTACTCTGAAATTTTTGGAATTTTCGGTCTTGTTTTCCTCACAGAATAGTGAGGACCTAGCATTATTCTAACACCTTGCTACTTAACAGTTCTAACCACATTTTTAGTGTTTTTTATTCTTATCTTCCTGTATTGTGTCTATAATCTATAAGCAGATTTATGAGGTGTAAAGGAGATCATACTGTATTGCGATTCTTAAAAAATGAGGTTAAATAAAACTGAACTTACATAACATCCACCACAGTTGGACTGTTCAAAGACCCAAAATAAAGACGGACAGTTAGGATACTTATTTCGTAAATCAAAACTTTTTGGAATTGGCTCTACTGATTCTGGGGAGTGAGGGAACTTTTTGATTGGCAGGCGAGGCTTCCTCAAAAATGTGCCACTCAGCTTTTTCATTTGCGCTTCGCTTAGAGGGTGGGGAAAATTTTCTCCAGCCTGAAACAAACAAAAAAATCGTTCAGTAGCAGAAAAATCAATTCCAGGACGATTAAAATACATCAACTCACATACTTGATGTTCTAAAACTTTATTTTGAGAATTAATTGTTTGCTGAAGTATATATTTTGGACCGTTTATATTTGTGCAAAAACCAGGCCACATGCCTACCTGACTGCTTGTCTTATATTCAGTAGATATTCTCAAACTTTTCGGTAAAATGTATGAATGGTGACTCTGATAAAATTTTAATTTTGTAAAGAAGAAATAATGACTTCGATCAAAGCATGAAAGGCCACAATCATCCCCTCCTTGAGCAAAATAAACTGGACCATGTTGGGAGATGTAAAAGCTGGCAATGCAACACCTTGACACAAAGGAAACAAATCAAGGTAGACTTTATATCTAAAACATGGAACCGAAACCAGAGATCTTGCATACATGTATTTAACCATGTTCTTGCATTAAAGTCCATCTAAAAACAACCATGAGGTGAGGAAAAGGGTGGAGGAGAAAATTTGGCTTATTTTTCGTGATTGATATTTTTCACTAACTTTCATTTTAATTTCCTGAAAGATTTTGTTTTGTTTAAATGGACTACAAGGATCTTGAGTGGCTAAAGAGTCCCATATAATTTTTTTTTAAAATTCGTAGAAAATTTCCAAGTTCGCCTGCTAGTCCCTAAAGGCAAAAAAAAGTTTGGAAACTTCTGTTACAGTGAACGGAATCACTCTTTTTTAATGCATGGATATGATCAAAGATTTGATTGAAAAGTATTGACAGCCATTATTATGTGACGTATAACGTAATAAGAAAAATCTGAAAACGATGGCTACATTCCAAGACACATGACCTAATTTGCAATGTTTTACTAATACTTACTTCATTTCTTTAAGGAGAAAACAAACCTAAATTACCTATGGATTAAATTCTCGTATATTTATTTACAAGTTAATGGTCATCTTGTAAGACATTAAGCTGAAGGAATGATTTTTTCTCCTTCTAAAAAATAAAAATTGTTCAGAAATAAAGAAAATTTGCAACAGCACGAATTGACATGTCCTAAAGTTTAGCCGTATAAAAAATGTCTTACAGTCCAAGAGAGTCCACGGGAATTCAGCGCCGAAATGTACTGCTCCGGGTCACTTGTATTGAAGTCCTGTAACCCATTTCCACAGGTTGCCACACCAATTAAGAGTACAACGGAAAACATGTGCGTTTGAAACATCCTGCAACAGATGACAGTGAGAAAAGAAACTATCAGAAAAAGGGTGAAAACAGAGTACAGAAGACAAAAAAATGACTCGGTTTTTACTAGGGCTCGTCAAGGATATTGCTTTTGCGGAAGCAGACTGCCTTGCGAGCATTTGAATTCGGCCGAAATTTCTCCGGCGTAGTTTAATTATGAGAAACGTTTTGAGTATATTTCCTCGAAATTTTCTGCCGCCTTTGGTAAAATTCCAATTAAAATTTATTATAAAGTTTGAAGAAGTATCCGAAGATTTTCAGAAAAAATCGTATTTTATTGAAGTAGATATGGAAACGTCCGAATGTTTATAAGACGTTTTTCCCAAGCGCGGTAGGCGGTAGGATCACAATTCCAAATCCAACCGAACAGCCAAAGCCTTCCTCGAAGAAAGACGTATTGATTGGCCATTGAACCTTATTGCCCTCGCTTTGCAGGCATTCACTCACTGGCGCACGTGTGGAAAGCGCCTTCAAAACGCTAAGGAGGCAACTCTATTAGCAGCTTTCAATGGTTGCCGCTGAAAGATTATAAAATAAAATGCATCAGTTGCAGAACTTGAATCCTGCTTGATTTGTGTCGAGAATCTTAGGTGACCATGCTACCCTGGTTCAGCCAAGTTAGTCGATAGACTTTCTTGAAAAATCATGTTTAAACATTATCGTCGAAACATCCCTGATGTTGAAAAATATGAAAGGGTAGAAAGAACTTCCCACAGAGGTTCTGTGGATGTCACTGCGAGAGGAGTGCATACGGTTTGAACCGGGAATCGCGACAACCATAGTCTTTATTTCTATGATGAAATTGCTTCACACTGTTAATTATTTTACCATGAACTGTGGTATACTGAAATAGGTTTATTGTATAGGTAGGTTTACATATTTTGAGAGAGTTCAGTCCCCCCCCCCCCCC